ACAACACATCTTCGGCAAAGCGCAAATTTTTCAAATGAACAGAGTAAATCCTGCGATAATTACCTGAAGAGAAAAAAAAGTAGAAACTTGCGCTCGCCGTTCGACATCAAGATAAGATAACTTCTTTTCCCATAACACCACGACTGTATTAAACTTTCAAACGAAAGGACAAGAAATAACTTGAAGAATACGAACACTATGCAATATTACTCGAGTGATGAACCGGCGTAAGAGTTTCTAGGCGATGAATGCCAGAGTCAACGTTTAACCGAAACGTGATCAGTTGAATTCAAAACTGAAGCTAGTATCAAGCGACGATTGGAAAGAAAAAAGTTTGAATTTTTGTCTGGGTCTTAGCGTAAGAGAAAACCCAGATAGGACACGACTTACCTTCTCTTCTTTCGCGGATCCTTTGCAGTTCGCTTCTCTTTGTTGATGACCTCTTTTCAGTCTGTTTTCAGAAGCGATTTTGTATTTCCTTCTCGCGTTGCTCTTCGCTAGAAACTCGCCTTTTTACTTATGCCCTTTATTGTTCTCTTTCGTCTTCCTCTTGCCGTATTCTGCCTATTTTGGCGTCCTTTGTAGCTTTCTTGCGCGATTTTCTGGACTCGCTTTACGCCGTTTACTTGTTGCTTTCTTTGGTCGCTCTGTCTCTTTATAGCCAGCCTATTTTCAATTAAAACCCTCTCTCCACGAACTTGAATTATAACAATTTCCTCCGGTTGACAAAGCTTAAACTCTGCCGGTATTGTTGTCTTACGAGTTGTTTAGAAATTGCAAAATACTGAGAATTGCTGTTCAACTACATCCTGACCAGTTCGATTTCCCGCTCGAAACGCGGGTGGCAAATCTCATCTACTAGCTCACTTGGAGCCCTCATGCAATGCCTAACCGTGTGCCCGCAGCACGCTACACTGCAGCTCGACGTTCGAGTATGCGCACTTTATCGTCATCTGACGGTGTCTCTTGGCGCACACTGATGGGGTATCCAAGTTATGCACGCAATCGCGCTTACGCATTACCTTCTCCCTCGCCCTTCCATTACGTAGTGGCTAAGATAGTGCCCGTGGTACAGTTGGCCGCGCATGCCAAAAGTAGCACCTTGCACGGTCGTACGGTCGTACAACCAAATTTTTTGGTCTTGATGGGTTACTACTATTTTGTATAGTTATGGGGCTACGCCCTGCGAGCTCCGCTACTATTTGTAAGAAAATCTAACTTAACACACACTCTTACCTTGTTTATTTATGATTTTATAAGACCAATAAGCTGTTTCGGTTATTATATTATGCTTGGGTATTACTTTTTGCTGGGAGCCCAGGTTTTACGTTGTGTTTTCCCCTTTCCCATTTGTATCAGAAGCTAGTCACGAAATAATTTACAAATAATTTCACAAATGAATATTTACCCTGTATGAAGATTTTTGTTTATGTTGAATTGACAATATTACAATATGTTACTTTTGTGGTCACTAATCGTCGTTTCAGTAGCAGCGTAGCAGTTCAAAAGGGGTTGTTGCTTCAACGCTATTGAAATTTATAGTGTTCTGGCAGGAGAGCAAAGCGTGATGCTCTGGAAATAAAAACTCTTAGGGGCCTTTTACATGATATCGAAATGAGTTTTGTTCAAGAACGAGTTCATCCCGGTTGCCACATGATACCAGAATAAAATTATTCGAAACGAGTCATTTCTAAATGAGTTTATTGAGGTTTTCATTTCAGAACGAAACACGTATTCTGGACGACCTTTTGTACCTGTATAAAGTAAACGCGGTACGACATTCAGGGAAGGAAAGAAAGGAGGAGGGAAGCATAGAAAAAGGACGTAAATACTAATTTCTTACAAGCAAAGTGGGGCAAATTGTAAAATCATCGATATCTTTTGGCGTCTCGAAGATGCCGGCTCGTGACAAAATAAGATCAACTTTAGTTTCTGGATCTCCGCAAGTAACTTGAAACGTCTTTTTTACAACTACGCAAAGGAACGACCTGAGATATGCAACGTCGGTCTTCTCGATAACTATACCCAAAAGTTCCACCAGCGAACGATTTAAATGAAAAGCGAGTCTCCTTGTTAGCATTAAGATGAGACGCTTATACAACAGATCAATTAGCTAAAAAAGTATGTAGCTTGTCAATCGAATCGACTTTTGTAAACATTCTCTGACTTCCGCCGGCAAAGGAATCCTTGATAGTAATTCTTGGAAGATTTTTATAGATATGCAAAGAGGGAAAAAAACCCATCTCTTGGTAATTCGAAGGTTAATTAATCTTTGAATTTACATGTGTCTCCCTTGTCATGAGAAGGTTTATAAACTGCAAATTAAATCTGGCTAAAATGTGGTAGAGCATAACTTGATCATCGAAACAGCTAATAAAATCATAAATAAACAAGGTAAGAGTGATTTATGTAGTGATTTATGTAGTGATTTATGTAGTGATTTATGTAGTGATTTATGTAGTGATTTATGTAGTGATTTATGTAGTGATTTATGTAGTGATTTATGTAGTGATTTATGCCAGTAAACGGTGGCGACAAGTAGGCACACCATGTGTAGTCGCTAGCAAGTAAATTTTGCCTGATTTTAAGTTCGTCTCACGATAGAACAACACAATTACACAAGGAAATTTTTACAGTAACTTTATAACCATCCTTTTGTCTTTTAAAAGCTCGAAGGTCAGTAGATGCTGTCATATCTGTCATTGTCAAACTGTCTTTGTTTTGATGCTATTTTTCGACATAGAAAAAGTATGTCGGACAAAAATATTCACCAAAAAATAAATATTTCTTTGCCAGCTTCAATGACAGGGGATTAAGTTTAGGTGATACAACAAAGGATTATGCCGACATAAATACCGGAGGTCAAGTAAATTCGTTAAATGAGGTCACACAACTCGGGTAATATTCAGGGTGAAAATTTGCATATTTGAGCGGTCGAACGAAAAAACTCATTTCTCAAAAACTAAAATATATTTTCTCACTACGCCACAATTATTATACTGGGCTACAAAATATGAAAGTAGGCGAGAAAATGAATTTTTGGCGACTTGCCACAATATTTCAAGTTTATGCGATGGATGCTGACATCCTCTTTTAAGATTTTTTCTGACGTAAGTAAGTGGGTTGGTTCATTTTTCTCCTCTAATAACTGATATCTTCATGTTCCGCCGAGGAATTGCGTAATGGAACGAGTGTTCACGTTTTAAAGATTATCTCTGTCCCTTTTAGGATGTTTTTCCTGACAAAGCAACAGAACGGAAAATTCTTTCTTTTGCTATCAAATGTCCAAGTGAAGGCTGTGAATGGACTGGAGAACTTAGGGAAAAAGAGGTGAGGTTACTTCAACTCATATCGCAACTGAAAATAAACACTAAAAGCCTTACTTATGAGTTGTTGGTTGATCTAGATCAATGTACTGACGTCATAATTTTTTATCATATTTTAGCCTTAAGAGACCCATATCTTAACGTGATATTTATTCAACTGAACCTTTTTTAGTTTGGTTTTGACAGAATCAAACGCCATTCTAAGTGATGTATTATTGATCAAATAGTTCCTCAGTTGTTAAATATCAACCTCGCAACCTAATAATGCATTTTTCTTACAGGTTCACCTGTCTTCTTGTCCTTGTAAAGTTATCCCATGTTGTAACGAAAACTGTTTCGTGAGAGTTCAGAGACGACACCTTTCCCACCACTTGGGCGTCACATGTGAGTGGAGAATTATCAAATGCGATTACTGTAGTGAATCACAACCACGGTGTCAAATGCAGGTAGATATGGTATGATTTAGTCTTTTAAAATAATGCGTAATGTTGCCTTCTCAATAGGGTTATTCACAATTACTTATCGGTTTTGGAAACAATACCTCTGTGTTAGAGAAACTCCTTTCAGGTTATCTTTATTGGTTTACAACCTGTCACTGTGGAAACTGTTCGACCTGGAACAGAGTAGCGATAGACATAACAAAGAAATCTGCGTCACCTGTTTTTATTATATTTATTACTTTCTGTTCTTGGTACATCTTATCTCCTCCAGGATCATATTCACCAGTGCAGTAAGTTCCCAGTAACTTGTCCGAACAAATGCAGCTGCTTAGTTCCCAGGGGAAAAGTAAGAAGTATTTCTATCATTTTAACACTTTCATTACTGTTAATTTTTTTTTAAGACTTTGAACTTATCTTCAGAAGAAGGAGCGCAAACCATTTACGTGACTAAAAGATAGTTTTGCCATTTGCGTTTGTCTCAGCTCCGTTGTAAGTAGAATTGGAAATTGGCAATTTTCTTTCTCGAGAACTAATGCCACTCAATAGAAGCTAAGTTTTTCGTTTGTCTCACGATGTAGTCACGTGTGATGTAGATCGCGACGTTTCAACTGCATACTGCTAGTCTTCTTCAGGCGATGAGGCCGACTGGTCATGCGTGATCATATAAAGCATGATGCTCTGCTGTGATTAATTGTTTTTTCAACAGCTCTGACCTCATCGCCTGAAGGAGACTAGCAGTATGTAGTCGAAACGTCGCGATCTACATTACACGTGACTACATCGTGAGACAAACGAAAACCTTAGCTTTATTGTTATTCACCACGATGAACAACCACAACTTTTTCTACAAAATGCCACTCAGTCAGCAGTAACCATTTAGTTTGTTTCCCATGTTAGGGTGATCTTATAATGTTAATGGAGCTTGGTGGCTCTGAGTGGATGATGAAAGAGTAAGTTGTATCTAAAATAAAATAGAAAAGGATAAAAATGCTGAGTACCGATAACACGTCATAATAGTTAAGAATATCCGTTTAAAATAATTTTTGCCGGTGATTATAGAGATGAACGCGCTCTGATTGGTCGAGGATTGCGCTAGCTATATCTCGCTATATCACCTTACGCGAGGCGTTTACAGAAGGAGCACTCGATTTCAAAATGTCTGCCTGGTGTTTTGCTAATGTTACCGAGGAAGTGGTAAACGCGATAAAAGAGAATTCAGTTCCTATGAACACAA